GTGAACCCATCTTTCGCGTACGACGACAAGACGGGTAGTCTGTCTTGAAGGGCTGTGAATATTCGTGCGAGACGGTAACAGTTGGCATCGGTCGTCCGGCAGTTCGGAATCGAAATTGCACTCCTGTATCCAAAAAGAAAAATGCAATTTATGACCGCCATAAATGCAATAGATGGAATCAAGATGACAAGAAAGTACAACATATTTACATTTCGAGAAGCCTCCCGAGTTCATGTACAATCAGCCTATAGTAATCTAAAGACGGTGTGTGGCCTTTGAATGTGGTGGATGAACAGTGCATGATGATTATCGGGCAACCCTCAGCCCAACGTTTCTTTAAACCGGGTCTCTAATTTCCCGCGTCTGGTCCAAAGTTGTTCGTGAATGTGACGGCATATATCTCCGATCATCAGCCACGCAAGAGCATACTTCGTGTCTAAACCGAATGATCGAGCTAATATTCGGTCCAACTACCGAGGTTGCCTTTCCATCTGCTGAAGTTTCCTCCGCATTTCGGCAACTTCGCGGTCTCGCTCTACGGATTCCGCCTGAGGTGCGGTCGGAGCTCGCTGTGCGTCTGAGCCGCCGCTCGGAGGAGGGCTGGTATTTCCTCTATGCTCGCCAGGTTGTTTGGGCGGGTGCGCACCGAGCAGATCTTGATCCTTTTGCAGCCTATCCAATGCTCGTTCGAACTCGATCCTCAATCCAGATATTCTGCGCAGTTCGGCCTCTTGTGCTTCGACAAGGTCGTTTGCTCGACGAATTTTCGATTCCAAATCTCTCCTTAGATGCATAGAGTCTATGAAAGCATCATAAAGGAGGTGGAACGGTTCCATGAAATGTTCCCTCTCGACATCGAAGGATCCGTTCGCATATCCGGGAATGGGCCGACCGCCGGGAGAGCGGGCTCGCACGGAGGGGCCTGCACCATTGGCAGAAGGATAACCTGACGACTGACGGGGTCGATACATGGTACCAGGAGGATACTCCCCGCGAGCTAGACCCGCTGTCGGAGGGCCATTAACAGCGCTCATCTGAGCCAGTCGAGGCGGATAGACGGGCTGCGCAGAACCATATGCAGTACCGGGAGGATAAGCTGGCGGTGATCTGGCTCGAGTCGAAGGGCCAACGCCCGGCTGGACGTATCCATTGAGGCTTCGTCGTCGCTCGGATTCGTGGGTCATATCAGGGTGGTCACCATCGACATATCGAGGAGCAGGATAACCTTGAGGGTATCCTCCTAGACCTGGGTGAGCAGTCTGCGGTAGATGTCGGGCTGACGGCGGTTGCAATGGTCGTTGACCAGAATATACGTAGCCACTTTCCATATGAGCAGCAGTGGGAACGTCATCCTGCATCAATTCATCCTCGTCCTGTCCGTCGTCTGGATGTGCAGTGGTTCGCATATGTGACGATTGGGCAGCGTGAGCTGGCTGTTGCTGTTGTTGTTGTGATTGTCGAGATGGGCCAACCGGTGCGGTCTATAAAAAGACAAAAAGTATGAGATACATGGAATTCGTTATATGTCGAGCATTGCGCACCTTTAATCCATTATGCCTGCCATAACCTTCAGAACTTGTAGACACCCTCATACCTTGAACTTTCTGCTTGACTGCTTCACTCCTTCGACTTCCGACGCTATTCTTGTGCAGATACATTATGGGAGGAATAACACCAGCAGATGGAGGTGGACCAATTCCAGGCGAATCCATCGTCAAAGGCGCTCGTCCTTGGCGACGTTTCTGAATAAGCTCGCGTTGCTGGTCTTTGATCTGTTGCGCGTTTCGGAACTGACACAAGCCAAACAAGCGGTCAGCATTCGTCTCCATCTCGACAGATCAAGCATAACTCACGGAATCGAGAGTCGCTTGATCTGCATTGTGCATCGGGAAACCAGATATCACCGGACTGACGGTGGCTGAGGGCAGGCCCGTCTTCAACCCTTCGACATCGACATGGCTAGCTGTCGATCCTGAACCGGCAGACTGCCAACTGGGATGCTGAGCTGATCCACTTCCCGCTTGACCAGCGGGGACATTGGCCAGAGGAGGAGGTCGTTTGCCCAACTTTTTACTCCTGTCAGCCGCTAAAGCTTTTGCAGAGGTATTACCGAGCGATTGCATCCTTGCAACAGGGACCTTGGGTGACGGTGCTGGATCGACATCCGCTATCACAACATCCTCAGCCGGTGTAGCAGACTGTACTGCTGCCTGTGGCGTCTGGGACGGTTTCTTGAGTTCTCCTGTCCGCGCGACGGGGGAAGATTGAACAGGTCGGGTGATCTGAAGCGGTTGTGGAGGACGGGTCGTTTGAGACGATAACGCTGATCGACCGTTTGATGGCTGAGCAGACCCTCGCTCACTCGCGGCTTGTGATGTGACCGAGCCGGTGGCAGATGTTCGACGAGTTCCTTGGGCTGTGGCTGCAGGGCGAGGCGGAACGATAGTCGCAGAGGATGCTGATTCCGGTCTCGTGAGAGCTGCAGTCTGCGTCGGAGGCGACTTTACCTTGCGCTTCTTGCGTGGATTGGCCTCGTCAGCTGGTACGGAAGCGTGGCTACTCATTGCGGCATCTCGCCATTGCGACGATTCACCCTCAGCTGATGCTCTTCTTTTCTTGTCCAAAGCTTGATTCCTGTTGTCGCCATCGTCAAGTTTCGCAAAGGAAGGTTCCCAAAAGATGTCCATGGGATCCGCATCACCATCGTCGTCGGCAGAGTATCCGGTCGAATGATCGAGCATCAATGCATTGGATTCGTCCATTTGTTCGTGAAGAGATACCATCGAAATTGACGCGGCGAAACAGTTGAGCGATGTCGGAGGACGCAGAGTGACAAGTGAAGGAGATATCGCGGAAAGCCGGTCCATTTGTGCATCACATTGCACAAGATGAACGTTGAGCAAGACAGGCGAGGAGGGACGGGAAGGCGAGGTCATGGAGGAACGACGGCGGTCACGAGTGTCCGTCATCCGGGAGAAGAGACGGCAAGGCGAGTGCATTTCCGGAGCCGAGATGAACACGACGTTATTCCGGATGTGGGATGAGTAATTCGGGATGAACAAGTCCATAGGGTTGTGGATTCGAGGATGTGGTTGCATCGATTGCGAGTCGACAGGGGTCAGATGTTTGTTGCGAAGCGAAAGGTCGATGTTCATTTCGAAGCAGGCGTGGGAGGAGGGACAGTGTAAGGTAAAAGGCAAAGCATGAAGGGCATCAGTATCTTTTCACTCCAGGTCAGATTCTATATATCCCCTGATAGAAAACGCCAGACATAGCCCTCCTTAGCCATCTAATCTCCAAACAACTCCTGAACAACCTACTTCATCCACCCACAATCACCACCGAAGAGCGCATCGAAACGAGGAACCTCATGCGCTCGCAAATCGGCACCCACCATTTCCTGGAAAGGACGCTCCTTTCTGACTTCCTCTGCCCCTTCTCAAATTAAACCCCTTGACGTAAGGACCCTTCCACCGTCAGGCGAGCCCAAAGTACCGTCATTTGGCGAGAGCAGGTACAACGTAAAACACCAATCACAATGTTCCTTCATTCGATCTGACAAGGCTTCCTTTCGCCGTTTCGTCTTTGTGATGATGGTCCCTTCAATTGCCATTTTCCGGCCTTCCGCGTGTCCGGTCATTGCCAGACATATCCGAAATATAAAGAGAGATGTGGAAAAGTACTCACGCTTGAGGTGTGACGAATGCAGTGTCGCCATTCTTTTCTCCTGCATCCTGCTCCTGGCTTCCTGGCTGACTTTTTGCTGCTGCCGGTTGAGAGGTTTCAGCAGCTGATACGGCTGCATCATCAGGAACAGCACTGTCTCCTCCAACCAACGACACCGTCTGCGACTCGCTCCCGTCGACCTGACCCTGACCAGTCAACTTGACCGTCATTCCTCCTTCTTCAACAGCAGCTGCAGGCTTGACCATGGTCTTACCGATTTCTTTTCCTTTCAAGATGATCGTACGTGCAGGCGCCGGTGCAGGTGCAGGTGATTGAGATACTGGTTGAACCGGTTTCACGGCTGCAGGTCCGGAACCTCTTGTGACTCTTCGAGCGCTCGTTTCCTCCTCGGTCTCGACAGGCATCGTCGTGCGGGATGAGGATGAACTGACGATGGTATTGGTTTCTCCTCCAGCAGATGATGCGTTCAGCGGATCCGACGTTGACGGTGTCTCGACAGCGGCCATCAAGGCAGTTTTGACGGTCAATGCAGAAGGGGAAATATTGTCGGGGTATGCTAATTGGGTGATCACGGAAGAGACATCCAGTTTGCAGGAGAAAGGATTTGGCACAGCACGCTGGAACGCGAAGAGGAGACAAAGACGAGCCTGAAAACGCCAACACAAACAGTCAACCTACTAGCAAAGGAATAGACAACCCACCCCTCGACAGACCCTGCCGCACGGCGATTGCTTCCGCCCTTGCAACAATGCAGCAGCTGCAGCTCAGCAGAAAGAGATGCCTCGCTTAAAGTCGTGTTTCATCTCTTTTTGCATCCGCTGAAGGTTGGTCGCACTTCATGAGCTGAGCACACCGCGGATGTCCAGCCTCGTTGGACTGTGAGACGGTGAACTGACTGTGAATAAGAGTGATCTAAGAGAGAGGTGGCTGTTCACGCAAACTATTTATGCGCAAGCGAAGATGTGCCAGTATTACCGCGTGAACTACTCTGCTGGAGGAGGTGAAGCATGCAGGCTGACAAAGTATAACACAGTCGGGCTCTCAAGTAGTGCAAGTGAATAGAATGAAAAGACATGACAGCGGAAATGGGTGGATCGCCCTCCTTGTCTAGAAAGGTTCACAGAGCTGTTCACAAGGAGTTCCAGGAGCTGACCCAAAGCGTACAGTCACCTTGATCTTTTGGTTCCCACATATGCCATACATAGCTCCCTATACAGACCAAAAAGTAGGGCCAGTAACTCCAGTGACTTCCATCAGACAGATACTCTGAATGGGTTGATGCAGCCCCGGAGTGCAAGCAGCGGCAAAAAGGCTGATCCGTGAGGGGATCGAACCCTCGACCTTACGCTGACTGACACCTGCTGGTATTAGGCGTATGCTCTACCGACTAAGCTAACCGACCGTTCTAGCAACTGTGATTTGTGTTTCACCTATGACTCTGCAAGAAGCTGTAATCTGAACTTGTGTGTGCCTTCCCTCCTACGCAAGAGCATACCTGTCTTCCATCAGCGTAGATAGACGCCTTGGGTGTGACATCCGTACGTATGACTCTGTGGGACCTGGAGGGCAACTTCAACGCTGCGGAACGATAGCATACTGCAAGGATAGCTGGGCTGTGCACACGAATATGTAGGCCTGTGAGCAGCTTTCGCTAGCTCGCCCCGTTTCAAAAAAATCAGGATCCGCACTGTTCAACGCGTCTGGAGCACCTTGCCTTTGTCACTCATCAGCCAGTTTCAGTCTTCTGTTCATGAAGTGAAACACAGCCTGCTTGGCAAGGGGTAGTACGTTGTAGGCGGTTGAATCACTGAAACTCGCAATAATATTCTGTATGTCTGCTGGTCAGATACTGGGATTAAATTGAACAAAGCAACGCCGACGTCGCGCATTATCAAAAGGGTTTCCGGGAACAGTAACAGTTCACCCATCTCCCGTCGTATATCATGGCTGTTGATCAGGATGGATTTCCACTGCACCAGCATCAGCAACAATATGGAGGATACGAACGACCATCATTCCCTAGTGCACCGCCTTCTTACCAGACCAATAAACTCAGCGAAACGGACAGTCAGAGACAGAGTCACGATGACCCGATACACCCGGCTTCACTTGCGTACCCGCCGCCTGCCCCACAACCATCGACGACGTCGACTTTCTCATCCCTAAACCCGCTCACTAGTCCCGACGCCGACGCTGGCGGCGGCCACACTGATACACCACTCCTCCGTCGACTCTCACAGCGGCTTTCTCTCCTTTCGCCGGCAGGTGCAGGAGGAGAATACAAGACGTATGAACAGCTCGCCGAGGAGGACCGAACGCTTGATGCCGAGGAAAAGGCAATGTTGAAGCGTGGAATGTTCAATTGGAGTGAAATGAGGAATTGGAGGTTCTGGATCCGGAAAGAGTGGTGGGGTGAGTTTATTAGTTTCTTTCGTGTCGTCGTGCGTCTCTGGTCGGCAATTGGGTATGCTGATACTCTGTGCTTGTTAGGATGGTACATCCTTCTTGTAGTCTGCCTGTACGTCTTACCTGCATTCCTGCTTCATCCTCCTCCTTTAACTTATCTAGCGCTCGTAACAGCGTCGTGGTGACTCTCATGACATTATACAACGAGCAAATTATTGCCTGGATGCGTCCGTTTGCGAACAAACTAAAAGAGTGAGTCGAGACCTCTCCTTGCAAGAACATTGGAAATCAGAGGATTAGACTGATCGAGATGGATTGTCGTACAGCTTGTCAGGTGGATGGGCAATCCCAATTGGTATTCTATTCGTCATTTCTTTTCCACCGTATGTACTGGTTCTTCTATCCTCCCTCACCATGAGGAGTGCCAACGGAAATTGACTCTGCTATCTGTCTCGCCGTAGACTGTTCGGTCACGAGGTAAGCAAATTCATTCACGAATAATCGATGGCGTCGGGAAACTAATTTCTTATCCACTCCAACAACGCGCCACCCCCTTGGTAGATCGTCATGATCCTCTGCGGCGTCGTTTGGGGGCTGTGGTTCGGCTTCCTCATCGTCAGCATCGGCACCTTTCTCGGCGAAATGGGCAACTTTTACGCGTTTAAAACGTGTTTCCGAGCCCGCGCGGCCAAGTTGGAGCGAAAGAATATGAATTATGCGTTGCTTGCGCATGTAGTGCGTGAAGGTGGGTTGAAGATTGCCGTGATGGCGCGGTTGAGCGCGATTCCTGGGTGCGTTAATAGTCTCGTTAAGAAGAGAGGAATGTGCGGGGTTATGGAGGAGCTGATTTGAGTTATACACCCCCGACCGCGACGCAGACATTTCACTACTGTGGTCTTTTCCACGTGCGGCATGTCTGTATGGATGTTTGCCATCGGAACCATTCTGTCGCTACCAAAGAACGTAAGTCTGTCACGAGTGACTATTTTCCACTGCGATCATATCTTACATCTACCAACGTGCGCCCTATAGCTTGCTATCGTATACCTCGGTGTCGCACTAGGCTCGACCGATGAATCCTCATCTAGCAAGACCGTGGAATACACCGTGATCGCTGTCTCTTTCCTCTTTTCCATTCTGGCGGCGTGGTACATCTATTGGTATATGAACAAGTCACGTCTCGTCGTGTGGCGATTGCATCGGTGCGTCGATTTACTACCGTCCCACTTTTCCCCGTGCTGATCGTCCGCTCACCTCGTCGTCTCCAAAATAGAGCGAATCTCGAGAAAAAGGGTGTCGGGTTGGAAGAAATTCCCGAGGACCCGACGGGCTACGAAGTCAACCCGGAATACCAACGAGGAAAGCTGCTTGAAGGGGAATCTGATGATATGAGGGATCCCATCATGTTCGACGCGAGAACGGCGATGACAGCGACTGGCCACAACGGGTGAGTTCTGCTCGGTTCGTAGTGGTTTCGAGGGCGTTACACTAAGTACACTGCATAGGTCCAACACCCTATACCCACCCTCCCGGACACCGGAACTATCATCTACCGATCTTCCGCTCTATCCTATGCTCAGCCGCAGCAATAGCGCACGTTCCGCTTCCGCTCGTCCACTGATTGACTCGGAGATGGATGTCACAGCTCACACTCTCGACCCTTACTCTGACGACTACCCAACGACTGCGTTTCCACATGCAGTGCCCATGGCACCGCCGCCTGGATCGGAGCACCTCTACCGCGCAGCGTCGGACGCTTCGACGGTGTACTTTTCTGCCGAAAGGAACACTGCATCAGCTATGACGCCGAATGGGGGCGGATATCTGGATCCGCCAACGACAGCCTTCCCTGTGCCGCAGCCTTACGCACCACCAACAGAACAGGTACGGAGCAAGGGAATACAGTTGGTGGATCCAGGCTACGGTGGAGGCGGAAGGATATAATAGGGCCAAAGTGGAACTTGAGATGCTTTCAACGTTGTATGGTTATACCCTCATCATGGACATCATGAATCGACATTGCGCAAAGTGAAGGTGAAATACTGGGACCTGAGTTTCCAGTGAGCGTGCGGGCGTGCGGAATGTTTCAACGGGAGTTCCGATAATTAGCCGCCTGCAAAAGTCTTAGCTGTCTTCACGTCCATGAGTGTATAAACATGTTGGTCAGGGTTCCATAGCATGGCACGCGGATGTGGCGGATTATCGTGCGACGCTAACAAGGTGCTGTTGTTCTTCGACATATTACATAGCACTATTTGTCCCGTATACACATTCGAGCGGTCGCCCAGCCAAGCGCTTGAGCACAGACACGCCGAGTATCACACAACTACAACAAAGTCAACATCATCCCATTAAAATCCAGAAAGAGTCAAAGAAAGAAATCGCATCTATAGTTGGTTGTTCGCTGTTCGCTTCATTACTGTCGTAGCAAGGTTGTCGTTGGATCGGGATGCCACGGCTTAGCGTAGCCGGTAGTCCCTAAATGATTGTCAAGTCTGTGCGTCCACTTCCATTGCGCCTTCGCCGCCATGCCCTGAACCCGCGGCTGCTGCTGCCGGGCTTCCGCCTCGAGAAAGACTAGGCAAATACCCGACAGTCTGCTGCGTGCCCATTGGAGGCAACCTGGCGCCAGGCGAGGTAAGACCAGAATCGTACTTTTGCTGTCTGGGTGGTGAGAGCGTATGCTCGCGCGACGTGGGATCATTGATGGGGGTCATCCCGAATGCAGCGCGTACGCCATGTGCGAGCGAGGTACCCTGATGGATATTTCCACCTGTCGTGGCTACGCCTGGGCTATTACTGCGCGAGTGTAGGGGGCTGGTCTGAGCTGATGTCGGAGCGCTTTGAGCGATTCCATGTGCATTATACCCCGGTGGCGGCAATCCCCTGTCGCTATGTCTCGAAGGTCCGTGATTGCCGGCCGCAGCATTCAAAATATCATCGACAGTGTGCCTCGGCTGGTCGTACGCTCGAGGCATACTGACGAGATGGCTTCCGGAATTGGATCGGATCAAACGAGGCGGGCTCATCCTGCCGCTAGCCTTGTGCGGGATATTCGAGCTGAGGCCAGGGGTATTAGGAGTCGACGTGTGTGAAGCGTGGCTGTAAGATCCTCCCCCATACGGATGACTTCGGTACTTTGCGTCTCGAGCAAAGTGCGACGTGTGTCCACCGTGTTTGCCGGATCCGGCAACATGCCCTTCAGGATGATGGAAATCCGGACTTCCGGGACGACTAGGGCCACGGGAAACAGCGGGAGATGCGTGTATTGATCCGGGAGCGGTGAATGACCCGTGATGCAAGTGCGACAGGTAATGGTGACCCTGTAAACGGTCGTGAGATCTCTTTGAACCCCCAGCGCTATGCAGGTCCATGTGAGGAGCACCGGCGTTCACGCTGTTGTGGTGTAGCAATGACATGCTCTTCATTGGACCTAGCACGGGACTCGTCGAGGGCGTCATTTCGAAGTTCATCGCAGGAGGATGGGCATGGTCATCTTCAAAGTCGTCGGATGATTCAGAACGCGGCGAGACATGCGTCGAAGGCGGATTCGAACGCATTCCGCCCGCGCTCAAACTTGGTGGAAGAGCAAACCCACCCGTCAATGCCGCGGAAGGCGCGCGTGATCCTCCTGTATTTCCGCTCGACGTAGCTGAAGTTGGTGCAGCAAAGTTGACGCTGCCGCCACTATTTCCCGGTTTCCGTGAGGAAGATGATGTTGGGGCGGGTGTCAAAGTCGATAATGAGAATGCATGTGCGTTCGCTTGGGATTTCAACTGGGCCAAGAGTTTCTGCTGATTGTGTCGCTGTTGAGCTTGATTAGCTGCTAAACGTTGAAGATGCTGCTGGATCGCCTGTTGCTGATACATTCCTCCGTTACCTCCGGTATTTACATTGGGTGCTGGACCCGCATTGAATCCCATGTGGAAGCCACTGGTACTGTTTCCCAGGGCGTGCAAATCTTCATGTGACCGGTGTTGAGGCGTGTTGTTCTGC